CCCCCACCGCCCTGGCTAGCCCTTCCTGCCTTCTCAGCTCCTGGCCCAATACACTCTACAGCAGTGCTTCATCTTTAGTGAGGTTTTCTTTGCCATGTCTCACCTCTTTGCTAAGGAACATCTGACTTCTTGCTTCTTGGCCCAATGAGAATGTTGTGGCCTTTGAAAACCCTTCCCCAATTCTGGGCAGGCAGAGGTCACCTCTCCACACTCCCAGTGATCCCATGGTGTGTCACCATGTCGCAGCTAAGTTATGCCCCTTACCACACTGAGGTCTCAGCCAAGAGATGTTTGCTAAGTGGCTGCCTGAATGTGCACAGGCCTACTCAAGCACCAGATGCTATTTTTATTGTGCCAAGGAAACAGAGCACCAAAAAGATGGAGTGCAAATTCCTACACTCACACTTAGAACTTTATAAAGACTTTGGAAAGTGCATCTTTATTTAGATGAGGCTGATCTATGTCAGGGGTCAGCGAGCTTCTTCCATAAAGAGACAGACTGTCGGTATTTCAGGCTCTGTCCTAACTATTCAACCTAGTTGTCCTAGTATGAAAGCAGCCATAATAATACATAAATGAGTGGCTGTGTTCCAATAAACTTTATTGGTAGACACTGAAATTTGAATTTCATATAACTTTCACGTATCATGAAGACTTATTCTTTTTCAACCATTTAAAGATGTAAAACCCATTCTTATCTGTGGGCCTTACGTGTCACCAGTCTGCAAGCTATGCCTAACCCTGCATCCTTCGGCACAACACTTGTATATGAGCTTGTTTTTTTGTTTTTTTTTGACTGAAAGGCCCTGCAAATGAAAACTTTTATCAACACAAGCAGAGAAGAATGGAGCAATGGCTGGGCAGAGGGTGAGGAGGAACAGAAAGGGCTCTTCAGCTAGATCCCGTCCAGCCAGAACTCTGTTTATGCTGCCATCTAGTGGCCAACTCCCATGAGGTCGGCTCTCAGGGCTCTCCCCCGCCAGGACCTGGAAAACATTCTCCCCTCCCATCAGCTTATGGCCACAGTTTGCGTTTGTGTTCCTGATCACACCCAACAAGGACTTCAAATCTGTTAAACCAAAAGTAAGTGTGAAGAAGTCTAAACCTTCAATAAACCTTTTAAAAGTGAAAAAGCAAGCTTCAAGTCACAGAATTTTGAGATCATTTAGTTCAATTTCTACTACCAACCAAGCACTCAGCTTTCAGGTAAGAAAAAGGTCCAGAAGGGCCGGTTGTTCAAGATGACGGAGTTTAAGGCAGAGCCTGCCTGCGAGTCCCACTGGCCTGATCCCATCACTGGAAGCTCTGAACCATCACATGGACATGCCTACAAAAATCCTGTGACATGGGCACAAAGAAGAGGAGTAGCCCAGTGGGTAAGAGCCATGGGTTCCAACCTAGTGTGTCACTTAATTGCTCTGTGCCCTTGGATGCTTCGTCCTTGTGCCATTTCCTCAACTGTTAAAACGGGGCAAAATACCTACCTCACAGGGTTGCTGGATGCTGAAATGGGCTAAGGGTATCTTGGCCTCTCATGGGCATTAAGGTATTGGCTACCATTATGAATTTGAGTACCTACTATGTCAGACATTGAGTGCTCTATGTATTTTGCCAATGTGGTCCTTGTAACTGTCTTAGAGTTAACTGTTTTCTCCATTCTGTAAATAAGCCCGAGAAAAGTCATGTGTACTGTGGGTGGGTGCCGGGAATGGAATTATGGTGGATGTCACCTCTTCCCCAAGTTCATGTGATGAAGGCATCCAGTACACAATGGAGTGACCATGTTACTTACAAACATGACCCAACCCTGATGTGCTAGCAAGGATGAGCACTGAGTAACTACTAGGTAACGTGGTGGCATTCTTAGCATTTAGGAAGGCTTTCAGGGTGGGTGTGACCGTCACTGTTCCTGCCTGGAGGTGACCTTGCTGCCGTCATTCTTGGCCTTTGGATTGTTTGTGAATGATGGTAGCTGGTAGAGGGAGTGCTTGGGATGGTCTACATGTTGGAGCCTTCAACATACCAGCAATTACGTGTCTTTTCTGCTTGCCCTGCTACTTCATTTCGGCTATTTCTGAAGTTCTGTAAGCTTACAACTAATGGAATATTCACATAATGCTCAATTTATCGGGACACCTGAGAATAATGAAAAACTCAGTGTTCCAACAGAGGATATTTGTGCATGTTTAAAACCCCGGATGTAGGTGAGAGTCGCTGCTCCTTGAATGTATCTGAGACAGGCAAATGCTTAGAAGCTAGTTCTGAAAGTCCCGGGGTTTCCCATCTCTGCAAACTTTCCCTCATCCTACATCTTCAAGTCCCTCAACGAGACACAGAAAAGAGACGTTCGGACCCACTAGGACCCCGGCCCCATCCTCTTTCAGAAATCCAGAGGCCCCAAGGTTGTTAAGACCATGGGTCTCTCATTTTACAGGGCTTAACAGGTTCTGTGGGCAAGCACCTGTGGTGGGGGGGAAGCGGTACAGGAGGTAAAGCATGAATCTGAAGCTGGGGCCTGGTCTTCATCATTGGTGTGTCTGCGGCACTCACCCCTTCTGAACCCCGAGTTCCGAATCTGTGAGATGGGAAGGAGGAAGATCCCATACCCTCCACATTGTGCTGACGAACGAGCACAGGGGGAAGAGTGCAGAGGAAACCATCAGGTACCACTGGTGCGTTTCAGAGGTTTATAATAAACTTTGAATGCGATGACTGAAAGAGGAGATGGCTCAAATTACTTTTATGGCCAGCTGCCTGCGTTCTTTAAGGTTTGGGGCACAGGCTTACGATCTCAAATGTTTTCTGTCTTACGTTCAATTTTCTCTAAATTAGGTCAGTGAGAAAGAACATCTGCTTGCTTGCATTGTCCTCGTCCCCCACCAGGTGGCGCTGCTTCCCAATTAGCAATTTCTTTTGGTGAGAGCCTGGCTGAGACCTCCTTTTACAGCGGGATCAAGTTGGACCTGCAAGAGGAAAAAGAAAAAAAAAAAAAAATGAAGAACCACCCGGCCCCCCACCGCACCCCCCTACCCCGCCCAAATTTCAAGTTAGCAAAATGGGATCTTGGGATAAGAGCTCCGGTGACAGAGAACTGCAGTCACTGCCCAAAGGGGTAGACTGTGGGAACGGAGGGTCTTTGATGCCCCCACCTGTGATATGCTCCACTTTCCAGAGCAGCCAAGAGGAAGCCTACAGCCCCTGTGCCCCCAGGATGGACAGACATTTGCAAACACACACGGACTTCAGGCAAACATGTACCCACGCTCCAATCCAGAGCGCTCACATTTTTCAAAAAAGGAATTTAACAATTAGGTCACCTTCTCAAGATATGGCAAAGAAAGCCACTTTTGTACGTTACGGGCACAAGAGCTGTGATTTGTAAGCGGTGATGAAATGCTGATGTTAGATTGACCTTCAGAATCCAAACCCTGGAAGCCAATGTGCTAACAGGCGTTCTCTGGGAAAGGACAGCACTGCCCTCTGTGCATGGTTAATGTAAAGGGTACCCCCGAATGGACGCCTGCCTCTCAGCCCTCGCACCCTAGAGTCTTTCATTCTCATAATAGCTGGTCCCCCCTCCCAGCCTCCCCCACCCCCAAAAGGAAGGTCCAGAGATATGATGACCATGTTTTCCTCACTCCCCACACCACACGTCCCTGAAAATAAATGGGCCCTCCTGTGCGGTGGCCAGGGTGGGGAAAGTCAGCATTTTTCTTTATTCTTTTGAGATGAAGTGATGGAAGGGTTATGGGGTTGAACTATTGTCCCAGCTTGCCTCCATTTGGTTTCACTGCCTTAACCTTAGAGCGCTTTTGTAATCAGTATGTAGAATTGAAAAAAGGTGTCTTCCAAGCTCAAATGGATGATGCTCTTAAGTACTAGATGCTACCTGTCAAAAAAAAAAAAAAAAAAAGATTACTTTACACTGTGCTTTAATCTTTATGGAACCTCAGAAAAATTTGATTTTTAGCACTTACATAAAAAGTTAAATGTGGATTTGCCTTGTAATGTACTTCTTCTACTCCAGTGTCGAATAATCGGGCTGCGCCACTCAGCTCAGGGCTGCCATAATTTGGTAAGCTCTCCAACGAGAGTTGATTTTTGAGGACAAGGAATATTTTGTTTTTTATCAGTGGACAGATCTGAAGTAACTAACCTTAACATAAGGCAGAACTGTTTGCCAGGTTCTTCACCACCCACTGCCCTCCTCCTAGACTCAGGTCTCTTCCCCATTTTCCAGTCTATTGACCAGTAACCTCAATCCTCCTGTTCATCAAAAGCAAATTCAATGACATCCGAGTGCCTTCTTGGTGCTAATTCATAATGTTGGACCTTCCGCATGTATTCATCCATTTATCCCTCACGGCCATAATTTAAAATACAATCTCATTTTCTATCTGGGGAAAATGAAGCTCAGAGGCCGAAGGCTCCTTCCACTTGCCTCCTCCATCCCTGCTTCTCCCACTGCCTCACCCACACCCTAACCAGTCTCCAAACGGCCAAACCTTCTTGCCTCAACCATCCAAGTTTCTTTAAATACCATCGTCAACATGTTCCTCCTCCATTTAAAGCTTGGTAACTTCCAATTTTTCATTCCATCAACCTCAGAATCTCCAGCCTGACTCTGGTTTACCTCTTGAAACACAAACGTCACAACTCTTTTAGAATGTTCCCTCTCCTGCACCTGCCTTCATCACCTCCTCCGACCTCCCGAGCCACCAAACACGGTCGCTTGCAGTCCTGTGCCTCCCCCGCACGGACCCCCGAGCCCCGGCCCTCTCCACACCCCCTTCCCGCACAGAGCCAAGGTTCGCGCGCCTCTCCCGTGCCGAGCCTTCCGTGGCACCATCACGTCCGTTCAGGAGGGTGTCGGGCTACGGGCTGGGGGATCAGATGCGGTCCGCGTGAGCGTAAAGCACTCGCAAAACAATTTGGCAAATCCTGGAAAACTGAGGGCTTTAGGAGGTCTTAACAGCCCGGCACGTGCACTCCTGGATTTAAAGCCTAGAGAACTCTTGCCTACATGAACCAGGAGACTGGTATCAAAACGCTCCTGCTGAGAGCAAAGAAATGAAAACCACCCAAATGGGGACAGAATGGATAAACTGTGTGTATCCCCGCCCCCCAGCGCAATGGAACACTGTAAAGGTAGTGAAAATGACTAAACTGCGGGAATGTAACTTGAGGACCGCAAAGCCCGAAGAGCAGGGACAGTCACAGAAGACTACGCACGAGCCGTCCTTTCTATAAAGCTCAGGAGTAACACGCGGCGTGGCGGGAGCAGGAGGGAAGACGTGAGGGAAAAGCACGAGAACAAGCAAGTTTCGGGCAGTGGGCTGCGGAGGCAGGAGGGCGAAGGGACGGGCAGGGGACACAGGTGGTGGCACGGCGGCCTGCACACTAACCGGAAGGCGGTTCCTTCCGAGGGCCCGCGCGGCGCTCCGCAAACCACCAGGGATCCTGCGACCGGTTCAAACCCGCCGCCCGAACGGGTCCGGGGGGAACATTCACGGGCCGGCGCCGGACAGTCGTTCCCTGCCGTGTGCGCCCGAGCCCCTGCGCGTCCGCCGCTGCGAACGCTGGCGGACACGCGGAGGGGCCTGGGTGCAGCGACGGGACTGAGTCGCGGCCGCCAGACGTGGCTCAGCTGCGCACACACGCGAGGCTGGAGCCTCCCCAGAAATTGCTCGGTGTGTAAAAACGGACCAGAGGCTGGGTCAGAGAACACAGAACCGGGGGGATCAAAGCCACTCGATACTGTACTGAGAGCTGCCTGGAAAACACAATCGTCATAAGCCTGCGAGAGTAAATCAGGTCCTCCATACTTCCGGTGACGGGAGCCGCCACCGGAAGTGGCACACAGCGCGCGGGGGACAGAAACACAGTCGCTCAGCGTCACGAGCGGCCTACAGGGCGGGGCTGTCGGTGCAGGGGCGGAGGGGGGGGGCTGAAGAACATCCATATGGTAAAAAAACAAAACTTTGTAATTCACTGCCCCACATTACAGGGGATAATGGGTTGAGTGTCTAAAAAGAAAAAACAAATCACCATGTGTGATGTCCTCCTCCTTTCACTTTTACAAAATTTGCAATAAACCACAATTCTTAAGCTGTTTTTCATTTTTTTTATTGCTGTTAATTCAAGGAAAAAGGGTTGCATAAAATCCAATCTGTTCTAGAAATATAAGTGGCCTTTCCAGTACATAACATTTCAAATATCAAAGTATATGGTAAACATACAAATAAGGAGAAGGTAACATACCTCCTATGTACAGTACAGTATTTTAAATCATAAAATAAGCTCCATAAAGTACAACTGGCAAGTGATTCACAATGCGGTCCATACGTGGCTTATCAAAACTCTCACTAGAACAACTCAACTGCAGCTTAACAATTAATTTAATAATGTGGTCCAAAAATACCCAGATCAAATAAAATATATTTAATCAAAATAATTTCCTTTACTCGAACTTCTCTTTTTAAATTAAAGCTTTCATCTACCCCTTCATCCCCGCCCCTTTCCCCTTTAACTCCCACCCTGAAAGTTAGTTTCAAAATGTACATTGCTGCTATAAATATAAATGCTACCTATGAAGCATTAAATGAAGCTTCTTTTTTCTTCAAGTTTTTCCTTTTATCTAGCAATCTGTTAGGCTTCTGAACCAAGACCAAACACTTAAGTCCCTCCGCTGTACACCGACATTACTCCACACAACAAAAATCTATCATTTCTGCTCTGTACTGAGGAATGGGAAAACAAAACCAGCCCCGACCCTTAACCTAGGACTATACAGTGGTAGTTGCTCATTGCTTTTGAATGCAGCAGTTCCAAAAATACACCCAATCTTCCAGATAATCTCAGTGCACTTTAGGAAATCAAAAATTACCTGGAAGCAATTTAGTACATAGATTGGCTTTAAAAAAACTTTTTTTTTTTTTTAAACAGCAGCATTAAACTTAGTGACATGACACTGACATGATTAATACCATCTTAACACACTCAGAATTCAGTCTTTCACATTATAATCAAGCATAGTGGTAAACTTATCAAAGTGACTTTGCTACGAGAGACGGGTTAGGGAACAAACCTGACTTTTGCAGAAGCCAGAACTCCTGCTCAGATTGCAATAAACCATACACATTTTAAACACAACATAACACTGCTACAGTTGGTGTGAGAAAAGAAGAAATCTTTACTCAGGTAGTGTCTCTTTAGCACGACACAGTGGTAGACTACAAGTGAAATCGGCTGTCGACTTTCATTACACACACAGACACACAGAACAACACTCACACTAGTTTGTTCACTTTAAGTCTCTCTGAAGCAACAGGCTAAAAAAGTATGATGAAGTAAAAAGTTTTTTTTTTTTTTTTTTTTTTGGCTTTTTTTGTTTTTTGTTTGTTTTTTTAAGAAAAAGCTCTTTGTCCACTTCAGACATCATATTTTTTCAGTTTCATATGGTTTTACTTCTTCCTCTCTCTTCCACTTACTTTAATTTTGATTTGGACCACAAGCACTGCATATCTGTGTTTACGTGATGCTGTTTAGTACATACATACACACAATTCGGGGAACTTGATGTCTCCTTTCGGATTAAGGTGAAACATTTCACCCTCGACTTACAGGCAGGACGGGTCATGAAAGCGGAGACCGATGCGCGGCCAACTGCCCCTGCCTCACGTCACTGGAAGGAGGGTGGCGGGGAGATGTGTGTCCTTTAGGGTGAAAGTGAGAAGAGTGGGGAAGAAGCAAAGTTTCTCTTTTTCAAAACCATATGACTGTCACCAGTGTTGTAAAAAAAGGTCAAATACACAGTTTTAAAGATTCAGTAAACATTGCACACAGCAAGTATTCAGTGTAAAAAAAAAAAGCACAGCAAACATTTTCCTTTTGATAGTTTGTCTGGATGTTTAAATTACATGTATCATACACATAAGCCTGTTGTTGAACCAGGAGACCAGAGGCTCAAAAGCAATGCATTCTTTTTTGTTTTGGACATCGGTACAAGAGAAATGAAAAATCCCAACTGCATAGAAATCTAGGAAATGTATAGACAAAGAAACACAAACAAAAAATACCTTTCCTTTCCTCCCCTCCACACCCCACCATGACTCCCCAACACGTCAGGGTATTAGGCAGTCAAGCTTTACTTGTTTCAGTCTGCAGAATCCAACGTATCATTAGAAGGGGGGAGGGGAGGTGCGTATCTCAGTCTGTAAGTGCCTAAAACGGGAAAGACAGAACTGCTAAGTCACTGCTTACAATGCAATGCATCACAAACCACTACAAGATAGCAAATGGGCATGCTCAGCAGAAGGCAGCTTCCTCCGCACTACTACGATTCCAAAATGGTAAAATAAATTACCTTCAGAAAGTAATATGAAGTTTGTGCTTTAAGTTCAACCTAAAGCTATCAAACTCAATCTTCCTTTAAAAAATGTCAAGTATACACTCGCAATTCAAGACTTTTTTTTTCTGGGTGAGATTTGGCAAAATGACAAAAGCCAAATCCAAGCGAAAGATAACAGTCTGACGTCTCCGCTGAATTTGTGATCTTACTCATACTCATTTAAGAACATTTTCTTGTTTCTGGTGGTAATAACATTAAACAGAGTTCAAATAATTCCCTTACTCCCAAACCAGTGCTTAAATATTTTGTTCCTTAAAATGCAATAGCTTTTTTTTTTTTTAAGCATCTGCTGGGAGGGAAAGGGGCAGCATGAGGGAATGTGCATGAGACCAGCTGGCTATGCATCGATATGCTAAAGAGAAACTAAAAATCAGACATGTCAGATGACTACATTACTTCCTACTTTTTCAGTATTTAAAAATTTTGTTTACTCTACGAAACAGAATGGTAGCTTTAAAAAAAAAAAAGTGCGGCAAGCAAGAGATTTGACATTATAGAACGCAAATTCCCATTATATTCCTTCAAAAGTGCCTCAATGGTTTTTGCTTTCCTTGGAAACTGAATTCCTCTCAACTTCCTGGTGCTGCGTGACCTGGGTCTACACTAGGTTTTCCCATTTGCATTTTCGGATTTGTCACTGAAAAGCACAACATCCGTAAACGAACACACACCAGCTCTTTCTGCCACAACAGGATCACCGTGCTCAGTAAGGTAGGGAGAAACGGGCACACTCAAAAACAAGTCCTCTGGGAGCTCTCATGATTACCTTGTTGACTGGCCTCCATGGACGACTGCTTGCACTCCTGTGCGTAGTGTCCGCTCACGCCACAGTTGTAACATGACACGTTCCCGTTCTTCTTGGGCCCCGAACCGCTCGCGTTGGCAACTACATTAGGTGCTGGATAGACAGGATAGAATCTCCCAAATCCCGCCATTTGTTGCATGCCATAGTTGGCTTGGCTCCCCATGACTGGGTCATGCACCAGTCCATTTGCATATGGAGTCTGAGGCAGAAAAAAAGGAAGTTGGTTTCCGTTGCTCTGATGTGCTTGGTTGAGGTAGCTGCCATTGCAGATGGATGGCAGGGTAAAGAACGACGGGACTCGGTACACTGGTCCGGGCATTGGGTTAGGATAGTAGTAACTGTTTAGCTGAAGGCTGCCATTGGTCCCACAGCTGCACCTGCGCCCGCAAGAACCACAAGGACCCGAGCCCATCTGCTGTGGCGGCAGTACTGTCCCGTTAGCGTTCGTGTTTCCCACAGCACTGATGTAAGACGTGCTGTCACTCTGCGCAGTACTGTGCGTCAACGCAGGGCTCGGGCTGGGGGCGGGGCCTGGGGTGTGGGTGGGGACGGCGGGCGGCGCTGCGGGCTGGGCCTGACTGATGCCCGCCCCCGCCGACTGGGCCGACGTGGCCGCCGTGCCGAGCACGCTGGAATTCTGGCTGGGCAACACACTGGCGGCGAGGGGCGAGCCTGGCAAGGGGTAGGAAGCTGGTGGCTGGGCGGCTGACAGGCCGGCTGCTGGAAGAACTACCTTCACATTGGTAGGCTGAGGGACGGTCCCAGTGTTTCCCTCGATTTGAGGCACCATTTGATTGAGTCCTACCACCTGGGATGCAGATTTTGTGATGGGGTCCGTGGTAGCGACAGGAGATCCCGGAAAACTACCTGGGCTGTGGACAGGAAGAAAGGCAGTGTTTGGTGATCCGATGCTCAGACTCGCGGGGGGCTGCTGTGGGATGTTAACTGGGCAACTCTCTGAAGACCCCTGTGGTGGCGGCAACTTTAGCCTCTGGATTGTGAGGTGCAAAGCAGGGGCGCTGCTGTGGGGGAGGAAGGCTGACGGAAGAGGTAAAGGGGAAGCCAGTAATTCAAGGTGCTTTTCAGATTCTCCAGTAGAAGCTGCTGGCCCCAGGATTCCAACAGGGGTGGAATTTGTGGATTCCCTTATTGCAGAAATAGCAACAGGACTGGGAACGAGCATCCCTATTGTCTTGCCATCGGCAGATTTGGGTGGAGGAACAACAACGTCAGACTTCTGGGCACCATTGTGCATGACACAGTGTAAAGTTGGCATAAAAGAAATATGCTGATACTTGGGTGCGGTGAGGGGATCTTCTAAAAGGCCTCCGTTGTCGCTTCCTAATGAAGCAATCTGAACAGGCGGCTGGACAGTGACGGTCTGGTTGACGGAACCATAGCCTGTAAACCTGGTTGTTGATGGATTCCCAGAATCCTCAGAATTGCTGTCTGTGTCTAAGGGAAACATATAAACGGATGTTAAAGCATGCATCACTCTCATCTCTCGCTAGAAATAAATTTTAAGTATATCTATTTTTTTTTTTTATTTTACATTTTATTTTTTTTAAGTAGGTTCTACGCCCAGCATGGAGCCCAACGCGGGGCCTGAACTCACGACCCTGAGATCAAGACCTGAGCTGAGATCAAGAGTCAGACACTTAACTGACGGAGTCACCCAGGCACCCCACATTTTAAGTGTATCTAAAATCAACTCTGAAGTTTAGAACTGGAGGAGATGTGTCCCTCTGTTTCCTGACCACCAAGCTGACCTTCATTTAATTTTTGGCTTCCTATGGACTTTTTTTTTTAAATATAGAGATTCTGGAAAAGGCAAAACTACAGTGACAATAAAAAGACCAGTGGTCATCAGGGGCGGGGAGCTGAGGGCAGAGACGAAGAGGCAGAGCACAGGGGACTTTCAGGCAGTGACAATGATCTGTATGATATTATAATGGGGAATACAAGTCATTATAACATTTGTCCAAAGCCACTGAAGGTATAACAATCAAGAATGAACCCTTAGGTCAACTACAGGCGCTGCTGGGTGATAATAATGTGTCCACGGATGTTCACACTTAGTAAAAAGTGTACCACTCCAGTGAGTGCTACTGATAACAGGGTAGGCTGTGCACAGGGGAAATCTCTGTAGTACTTTCCTCTTCATCATATTGTAAGCCTAAAACTGCTCTAAAAAAATTAAGTCTTTAATAAAAAAGAAAATCCATGGAGAGATAAGCAACAAAAGGTTAACTGGAGACTGAATGAAGCACAATATAAATACTGAGATTTATTTAATATCACCTTATTACTGAGAAAAGGATTGGATCTTTTTAATCAATTTTAGGCAATTCACTTGATTTGTATTCTGCACTGCCAAACCCAAGGTCTTCCCACGGGTCTCACACGTATGATGCAATCACAAGACTATCCTTCACCCAAAGATCTAGAGGTAGGGAATGGAAGAGAATGGATTTCAGTGGGGAAAAGAACATTTAAAGCTCCTATTTTAGTCATAAAACAAATGGTGCTGGAGCACAAGCAGCAAGGCACATACGAGCGCGCCGCCATCTCGCCCATGGCAAAACAGCAAAGCGGCAAATCCAAAATTACACGTCATATGGCGTTATTGCTGCAATCGCTCTCATGCTTGTATAAGGAAGAGCTTCAATCTAGACTTGCCCTGAGTGTCCTAACTTCCGGTAGAAAGAGGGCAAAAGATAAAGTCTAGTTCACAATATGCAGGTATCATAAACCCAGATGCTGCAATAGTATGTAGAGCAACCATGCAATTAAATGTAGTGCCCATTTTAACATCTTTTTTGCTCATGAATACAAGCAAAACTGTATCTATGTACTTAAAAAAGTTTACATGTATGAAGGTAACAGCTAGCTATACTATATTCAGCAAAGGTTTTAAAAACTTTTGAAACAATACTAAGAACAAATCATACTAGTAGTCTTCCTCAAGAAAGGTTAAACAGAACCTGCTTAATGACACAGGATGTCAACAGTGCTATTCACTCAATTATTATAATTTAGGAAGAAGAGTTTCAATTTATGAGTAAGTGGTTCTAGCATAAACTTCCCTTAATAACTGAGGTGTTTCTTGCTAAATGTTTCAAAACAAAGCGTATCCAAAAGTTAGTAACTTATTCAAGGCACTTTACCTGTATCTGTAACCATCGTAGCAATACACAGTGAGGAAGACAAACATTTAAGTCCAAAGAAGATAGGTCATTTTTCAGGTGGTTAACTACATTTCTGTATGAACTGGGCTTTCTTTAAATCTTAAGTCACGGCAAATGGTCCCATGAGTTTAAATGATCCCAAAAGGTTTTCTGAGCATTGTAAGGACTCACCTAGCTAATTAGAGACGGTCTCTCCCTTTTTTGCATTGGCTTTCAAAAGTATGAAGTCTCAAAACAAAACCCCATTATGAGCAACAGAACAACAACAAAGTCACATGCTTTTTAAAGCAACCTTTTCATGCACTCAAAATTCTAAAAATGATTAAAGCTTTTTCCCCACAGTGGATATTTTCCCCCTGCTGGTTTTAGATATTCCAAATGATTCTTCATTTAGGGAAGGCTCAACTTAGTCACTGGATAATGGAACTTCTCTGAAAAAGGGCAAGCTCCTCCATCTAGGCCGCCAACTCACCCTATCCGACGGCAGGAAAGGGAGGCTGCAAAGTAACCTGAGTGCACACAGATGTACTCTTCACAATTCTGACCAAGAGGCCAAATGTGCACTGTTAGCTCAAGAGCCCCTGGATTATTGGTACATCCCACAGAATCAAGCAGAGCCTGGGGAATGAAACACACTGAAAGCTTGTCTATTCTGGATAAGGCATAAAAATAAAAATAAAATAAAAATGCTCTCATTTAACCTTCATAAGAGCTCTGGGCAGTTATTTCCATTTTTTTTTCTTTTTCATGAGGAAACTGCAGATCAGAAATAGCGGTGGCTCTAATTAGAACCGGGGGTAGAGTCTCTGCATGCTGCAGGGTCAGGCTTCAAACCAACCGCCCAGTAAGACGGGCTTTAACTGTGCGTGACGCAGCAGCCCCCCTGCCGGAGCTCCCCAACACATGACCTGATACTCTGACACAGAAGCTGAGGTCTCGGGAAGCTGCACGCTGCCCAGGAAGAAGCCACGCGCGGCTGAAATGCTGTGGTCTAAGGCTCTCTATAGATCATGGCCCCAGGGAAACCATTTAATACTTCCCACTAGCATGGCTTCATCTTATAACCAAAATGTTCCTAATCAGATGTTTATAACCAAGATGTTACCAATCAGATGTCTTTATCATGTGTAAAGAATGATATCCTCATTCAACATACACATTTTTGAGATCTCATTTCCAGAATGGTAGTAAGGATCTCTTACACGCCGCTCCTGCATAAAAGGAACAAGAATCCTGGCAAAAACTGTCAAAATCAACTCTTTCAGAACTCTAGAAATTAACTAAAGGCTTACAGCAATCTGAGGAGTGTTTATTCCAGAAAAGCCATTGAATCTCTTAAGAAGGGTGAGCACTGTGGCATTTTACCTTGCCCTAATTCCTGTATACTTTCTCCAGCTCAGAAGTAGCTTTATAAATGAAAAGTTTTGCAGCTACAGTAGCTAGATAAACCAGCAGCCTAGCAGCCAACAGAAAAAGCATGGATTTGGAGCTCTCTAAAAGCCCCATCCCCAAAGAACTGTCACTACTGGCCTAGCAGTCAGAGCTCACTCTGTGTTAACAGCTACTTACCCACGGGGCATTTGTCACAATCAGTCAAGCTGCAAATGTTTAACAACTAGGCTGCCTGAGGCAGCATTACCAGTTGGGGTTAACAAGAGGTTGACCAAAAAACTTAAAAAAAAAAACCCAGAAGAATGAGATGTCCACAGGGAGCTTTGAAAAGCTTCCACATATTCCTGAAAATCTAGAAGGTTTTCTTATACTCTTAACTTTTGGCTGACTCTGAGCTTCTGTTTAAGGAGGAATTGAAGACAATACATACAGAGAACAAACAGCAAAATGGCAGATGTGAATCTGCATTATCAGTAATTACAGTAAAATTAAATGGATTAAACATTCCACTCAAATGGCAGAGATATGCAGAATGGCTAAAAAGCCGTAATCCAACTACACACACTTCAGATTCAAAGACACGAATAGGCTTAAAGTAAAAGGACAGAAAAAGAAGTACCCTGCAAATAATACCCAAGAGAGCTAGAGTGCTATATTATTCTCGGATAAAAGACTTTAAAAAAAAATTCTTACTAGAGACAAAAAAAGAGGGATATTTTATAATGATAAAAGGATCAATCCATCGGGAAGATATGTATATTATAAATATGTACCTCTAGCAGCAACACACACATTTTCAATTTTTCTACACCGAACTCTTTATTATGACTATTTTTCTACTTAATTTCATAGGCAGGGAAATAAAGCCTTAAAAAAAAAATCAACATTGCTATGAACTGCCAAGTCAGAGGTCTATGACACCCTTTATACCAGTTAAATTTAAAATCAATAATGACATTTATAGGAACATAAAATTACTTATGTCTGACTGATTTTAAGAGACAACACACATTTTCCTCTGCCACCCCCATATCCCTTCCAGAGAGCAAACCTCTGTCTTTTTCTTCTTCACTTTCAAAGCTTTCTCTTCCATCATGTCGTGGGCTAGAAGGAGAACTGTAACTCTCTGAAGAGGTTTCTCCACACGTGTCATGTCCAGATCCAATGTCCAAATTCACATCTAAAAATAACAATTCTATTTTTAAAGAATCATGTTAAGTAGTTAAATTAATTTCTGAATTAAACCATTAGAATTAGTTACAGCTGTAAAAAATTTTTTCTTTCAGTTTTTCTATAAACACTTAAAAAGCTGGTCCTTGATCTAGGTAAAAATTCATTATTAAAGCACAATTTTAATTGAAAATACCTGAATAACAAATACATTCTTAAAATAAAGGCAGAGGAACAAGTCGATCTTACTGACTTAAAAAAAAAATCAGAGTTAAGGTTCTTTGTAGGGTCTGCTCAATAACAGCGCATGGAGCCATTTTCTAAGTCTGGATATTTTAACTCCTCAGAGCTTATTGGAAAACTCATTCTTTAATAGAACTCAAGAATAGAACTGACTGCCAAAAATGCTTATCCAGTTAAATCACCGTGCTTGAGTATTTAAAAAGAGTCAAATGTTTCCCATCTAGTAGACTAAGTAGCCCCCTGAGTTCTGCCCAGAAACCAAACCCAGATCGAGGTGGGGTAGGGGGTGTCGTACAGAACCTGTCATGATCAATGAGCCATATCTGTTTTGGGCACAGAGAAAAGATTATTAGTATACCTAGTACTAGACATTCCTGCACTGGCCCAAATTTAGATAACTGTTCTATTCATTTCTGTAAACCCAGCAGCTAACATAGTTTCTGCCTCACAGCAAGCATTCAACACATGTTTAGTAGATAAATCTCCATATAAGGAATTCTGGAGGTATTTTGGAATTATATAGATGAGTGAACCATTTCTATGGCAACCTGGTAGAAGCAATAAAAGGTAATTGCTTGGACAAAATATGTGTTAGAAAAAAAAGATATGGTTTGTGTAATGAACAAGGCAGCTGACTAATCTGTGTCCTTTAATCCCTTGAATGTATTAAATTTATAACAGTGTTAGTACAGTGAAGTATGACCTAGCCTAGCCCAACCACTCCAATGATGAAGTGATATTAAAGAATAAAGTCATTAAGAATGCAGATGCTGCTAATTCCCTTTGGGTAATAAAATGCCAAACTGCCAAAGGAAAACCGCACAAAATCTCATGAGACTGTAAGAAAAGTGGCAGAGGAGTGACTTGGGCAAGTAATAATTTTGCAGAAAAGTAAGCTGGAGCGTACTTATACACAGAGTAGGTTCTGCATTACCAGTCACAACATGACTGAGGGAAGGGATGCAAGCCAACACTAACGGGGATCTGAAGACGATCTAATGTGCCACGGTGGCCAAAGAGCCTGGCATTAAACTGGACGAATGAAAATAAAACGTATACAACTGTGGCACATATGGAGATTGTGCATATAAATAGTTCAAGCAGCAAGATGAACAAAATGAACAATTCTACTAAGGGAATCAAAGATTCAATGATCGTATAAAACCAGAAATGATGCACTAAAAGGGAGCCACTGGGGGAGGGTGAGCTGAGATTTGCTCCCTAAAACTCAGAGAGTGAAACTACAGTGGAGTCTCTGAAACTTCAAAGAGTAAGTTTTGGAATATGTTAAAAAAAAAAAAAAAAAAAAGGGCAGCTATTTCTCCAAATGCCAAATTATAGAATGATTTACTCTAGATTATATAGCTAGTCAATATTCTAATCACCAAACTGTCAAATATAATCATTTGCAGTTTTCAAGGAACTAAATCTAAATCTAAAACTATACTAAACATAATTCTCTCTCTGATGATCCAGAAAGTGCAGAGTCTTTGGAATTTTTCTCATTAGGAATCATGTGACCCTCTGGAGTCAAGAGGTGTGAACGGAGAAGATGAAACAATTATGATGAAGGATGTTCCACCCACTGTCCTTTCAAACAGAAGCATACACTTTTTTATTTATGTCTCAAAGGGTAAAAGGTTATGCATGTTATTAAGAAGACAAAACCCCCCAAATTACCATATTCTATTCTGGCCACTATTCTAACAATAAAAATCCTGGTTACTAGTATGTACGAACAAACAGAAGTTAAGGTGGACTGAAGAAGCATGTAGGTATACCAGATGACAGAAACACAGTGGGTTATTAAAGGAAGCTGGAAGTGTTTAAGTCTCTGAAATCTCTTAAAAGAATTACTGAGAGGTCAACTATCTCACGGCCCCCCAAACTTCTTGGTGCCACAATCCACAACAGAAGAATGGGGTGGAAGAAACACAGGGTGATACCGTGGAACAAAGTTCTTAACGCAGATGAAGTAAAGCAAGCATCCCTTTTAGTGGAGAGATTTAAAGCTGGAGGTTTTAAAAGCAAATACACTGCAAAAAATATAGATGACAAAGAAGACTGCCTGCTTTCTTGGGAGGACACAACACAAAGGGAGGCAGTAAGGGACTTATTTTGCTACCTTTGTATCTTTAGAATATTGAACTATATAAATGTATTACTACTCAAAATGGAAGCTAAATTTTAAGATTAAAAATGAGTAATACTTCTCTTGGTTATTAAAAGATGAGGACAACCTACCAATCAGAAGGATCTGGTATTTTCAAATCCAATACAGTCTCTACACTTTATGACATGCAGGATTTTTCCAAAAAGAAAAACATCTTAAATACATCTTGAGTTTACTGAATGCTTAAAGGTAATTCCTTCTTTATACCCTAATGTTTCAAAGGGACATTAATAAATAGAGGGTCGTTTTTATTTTTAAATCAGAGTCGGCAAACATCTGAGCTACATTTGACATCAGTGCAGAGTTAAAGATTTTATATATAGTCACACTTTAGGACACAGAATAAGGTTTATCTTAACAAAAAATCCGGACGTTGTATTTTCAGAATACTGGAAAATAAAGAGCCAAAGGGATTTGGGAGTTTGGGATGTTATTTAGAAGTTCTTAATAACCTACACAATGTATGTTTTCTTCTACCTTTGAATAGGGAAAAGGAACTAAAATTACTGAGCACTGGAGTACTCAGCACTGGAGAAATGCTTTTCAGATGCAACCATATTTAATTCTCACAATCTAGGGAAGGAGATTATTATTCCTGTCTTACAAATGAGAAGAATAAGGCTTCGGAGAGGCCACACATTTACAAAACCACATTGCGGAGTACAACAGTCAAACCCACGTCTGTCTGAGATCAAAGTCCACAGGACTTCTCCGCAAATAGGAAGCTAACAAGGAAAGAAGAGTCGTGTGCTTCTCCGGGAAGCAGCAATTCCCAAATTATGTGAGAGACAAGAGACAGAGCGATCTTCTGAGGGTGGGCCACATTTTACAGAAATTTCCACTGGGAAATGACCCAACGAAGTAAGTCATCCAGGAGACAAACATGTGGGCAGTGAAGAAAATGAGCTGGAGGGAGGAAGACCAGAGACAGGGAGGTGTGCGGGAAGCAATTTCCAACCATCCACCGACAGAGGCCTTTCGTCGTTCTTATTGTAGCTTTTCCTCCTCCTGTTGGCTGCCACCTCCACAGGAAACCTCAAAGGTAGTGAAGTGTTACAATAAACCCAACAACGATGTGGGTTTTTTTTTTCCCATGTCATTTTTTTCCCCAAAGACAGTTGTTCAGTTGGTTAATTCAATGAGTTGGCCAGATGATTTTTAGAATCAAAATGTAACTGTATTTCCTGTATCACTTTTCAGTCTCTCTGAATAAATACCTGATTTAAAAGCATACTCCATTAAAAATATATATTCTGGTTATTCATGTTGTATCACAACCGAATGTGCTAATATTTGAATAAAATTTAAATTTAAAAAATCCTTAATTTGTGAGGTCAGTCCCGTCAACAAATGTGTTAGGTACACACATGAGCAAAAAACATTCTCCTACCAGTCTATGGGCTTTTATTCTCTTTTATCTTTCCTATTAATAGTAAACATGCACTGAAAAGTTATCAATGAACCAGAAGAAAGGACATTTCTCAAAAGAATACAAAACCAAAGAGACCTTAAAATAAAAGTGGGTAAATGGAAACTATACAAATCTAGCACAATAAAAATCTGAGTGTCTGCATTCCCCTAAATCTCCATAAAACCCCCACGAAGGATGGTCAGTAAAACATGAAAATGTCAACAAGATTCCAAAAAATGACTTTACACAAGAACAAGGACAGGTTTCCATGAGGGTAGAAAAGATCTTCCAGGTCCCTGGACCTCTGCGCTGGAGGAGCGACTGGCTTGAGAAGCTAACAAGTGAGGAGCCGGTTGCTACCAGAGGAAGGAGAAAGTGGGTAAGCAGAACTGTGGCAAAGGAAAGGTGTACCTCCACTGCTGAATCCTACATCCTCAATTAACGCCATTAATACTTCAGAATGGTTTAATTCAGAAATTGCTATTCTCATCAGTGCAGGATCAAAGTATGATACCAGGATTTGACACAACAGTTCAATATCTACTATAATAGATATCATGCTAAATATATTTAGGGGATGGGTATTTAAAAGAAAAACTTTCTTACCTTTCACAGAACCACCATGGGCATGTTGAGAAGTGGAGAATCTAATACCATTTATTCTACTATTCAATCTGTTGTCAGTTTTCATCGTTTTCTCCCTAAACCCAAAGTATACACATTACCGACATTTTTTATAAGCCTCTCTAGAGAACACAGTTAATTACTAAGATTCCCCCTCGGGGTGCCTGGGTGACTCAGTCGGTTAAGTGTGTGCCTTTGGCTCAGGTCATGATCCCAGGGTCCTGGGATCGAGCCCCACGTTGGGCTCCCTGCTCACCGGGGAAACTGCTTCTCCCTCTCCCACTCCCCCTGCTTGCGCGCTCTCTCTCTCTTTCTCTCTGGTAAATAAATAAAAATAAAATCTTTACAAAAAAATTTTAGTAAGCTATAATCTAAATGCAAGATTCACCTTTTAGTGTACAGTTCTGAGAGTTCTGCACCCCTCCAAACTAAATAGATTTGGCAATAGCTTTATTTCAATCATTTGCATTTGTTGATAATTTTAAATTAAAAAAATAATTAAGTCTCGAAGTAAAAATAAGGTGAGAACTAGTAGAAAAATAATATTTGTATGTCGTCAACTAAACATGCCCAAAGTCAAATCCCACATGTTGCCTTTCTTACCAATTTCTATTACTGGAAAATTACACTGAACCTACTTTTCTATTTGTGGCTTTCCTTTCTTCTTATTTATTGATGATAAGCTTCGTTTCTCAGTTGAATGCTGATGGAAAGAATAAAAAGAAATCAAACAGACTAAAACTAAACCATACTGTGTTGTTATCCTTCTATTCTGAGACCAAACATTAAAATGACATATTCTCAGTTGTATATTCTAATAAATTCTGACTTCTAACCTATTTCCTGAAAATACCTACCTGAATCACTAAAATCTGCACATTCTCTGATAAATACTTAATATTAACCTAAGAAAAATACCTATTTTGTATTTTGTTTTTAAAATGGACCTGTATTCCTTCTTCTGACCACAAAATAAAACACAGTCAAGAAACTGGTATTTGCTACACCTTCAACAGAATTCTCTTAAAGTTCAGGTTGCTAAAACTTCAGAACAGTTTTGTCACCTTTAAGGGGAGACGGTGTAGGCACTGAAATAGAGAGAGAAAAGGCATAATCAAATGGACTCTGAAAATAGGCCATTAAGTAGGACTAAGGTAACATACACCTTCTTAAAATATGCTTCAATGCTTTAGTTTGTAAAAACGCATTCCAGTAAAGGTTAACATTTGGATCTGAGTGTTGTCCAGAAATAACAATCAGGTTAACCAATCTATTTTCTAGGAAGAAGGTGGTTCTCTCCAGAGCTGCACAGTGAGCATCCCCCTACATTTGTGGTGCTACCGTACCTAAACGGACACACGTGAGAGCATTCTGTGCTTTGACTACACCAACTCCTAAGAAAGCAAGTATTTCCTAATTACATTCTTTTGTATTCAAAAGAATACAAAACGGAAAGCTGGGGAAAGTGCCCCAGCTATTCATGAGGAAAGGTCGGTTTCCAAATTCACATCACTAACAGCAAGATAGCAACTGAACTGTGAATAATCCTTTCAAAAGCGAAAAAATCTGGCAAAACCATTTAATGTATCCCTAATTAGAATAAACATTAAAGGATTTGTATCAAAAGGTACTAAATTTTTGAGCAATAAAGGCAATCTCAGCGTATTCTTTCAGGTCTCAGAAGAGCTTAGACCACATATTCCAGTTAAATTTAAAGTCCAACACTTACACTATCTGACATAACAACGCACAGAGGACTCGACTCTTCTAGAGCAGCAACGCGCAAAGACAGAAACGAAACCCTCCAATACCTGGTCAGCTAAGGCCACACAGTGCTCCGGGTGCTGAATGGCGGGACAGCTTTGCTTCCTCCAATCCACGAGTCCATTCTGTTCAGAATATTGCATGGTGAGCCCATCCAGTGGAGAACAACTTGTACTGACAGTGCTATCAGGAAAGTTTACACATGCATGAAAATCTACTCTCAATAGTGGGGCCTACTATTCACAGCATGACGAAGCTGCAGTGACCCTTTCTTCAGTACATTATTTTTTTTACACAATGCCTAGTGATACCTCTAAGGGAAAAAAAAGTATGCTGTGAGAATAAACTATTACACAGCTATCTGATCTAAGATAAGAATTAATACCTTTCTCTAAGGAAATTAGTAACGAATGCACACTGTCTTCAGACTCTATGCTACGGTCATCCTGTACCACCCCCGGCTGGCAGGTAGCCCCGATCCTGCGAGGATCGCTAAGAGCTGCATATATCTAAGGCATATTAAAGGACAGGATGATGCGACTGAAAACCAAAAGAAACAAACAGAAACAGACTCAAAAAGAATCCAGAGAAGGAAGGTACTGAATAGGGCCTTTAAAATAACAGTGCTTAACACGTCACTGACTACAAGACGATGAGACATTTTGGAAGAGTCCTGGAAAATATAAAAAATTTCAACTCTGACACTGTAAAAGAAACTGAAAGTAAGAACTCAGTGGATGGAAACAGATGAACAAAGTCCGTGAGGAGGAACTTTGGTCAGAAGAAACTAGACTGGAGTGGCGAGAGGAAGAAAATACAGAGAACGTAGAAAAGTTGACGAGACACGCAGGGCACGATGAGAAGTCTATCATCCAAAGTCGTCCAGGTCTCAGAAAAGAAAACAAGAGAATCAGGCAGAAGCAATATCTGAAGAGATCATGGCTTGGACTTCTCTAAACCCAAAAGGTATCAGGCTTCAGACTCGAGAAGTAGAATTCATTCAAAGACGGCTACACACATATCCTAGGCGGAGTGCTGAAAACCAGACAATAGGAAATCATAAAAGGAACCAGAGCTCGAAAAGCGCACCAACTTCCAAAGAGCAACAAGAAGACTGAAGCGATGAAGGCCGGCTGTCTTTTTTAGTCCCCCTAGTAAAGCAGGATCTGGGATGGCATGGTTGCTAGGGTAGGTGACCCCAGGAAGCAGGAATGACGAGCACACAGAAGGAAACAGGAAAGGAGGAAAAACCAACGTGAGGGTCCGTTACTGAGGTCGCCAAGAGAAGCAGCAGAGGCTCAAAGCAGCTGGGGCCTCCCAGAACTATCTAGTTAAAGGACAGGAAGCTGAGCTCCCCCATCAGTTGAGCGCTGACCCCCGGGGACAAATTAACTTGCATTTCTGGACTATGCCTGTTTGAGAGCCAACTAGGTCCCCAGAATCAGCAAGTGCCCCGAGGTGGAAGGTGGCCAGTCTTACAGCTTAGGTGGGACAGGAGAAAATGAGGGGATCCAGAGCTGGGCTGAGGGGATATAATGCAAGGGACCAAAGGCATTCAGCAGCAAGACGGTAAAACCTGAGTTTCAAAGCGCTCACAGAAAGTAACCGCCAACCTAGGATCCTGTATCCAGCAAAAATGCGGGCAAAATAAGCATTCTTTTTCCAGGTAAAAACAAAGTGAATGCATCACTGGCAGGACGCAGGAAATACTCTGGTGTTCTGCAGCAAGAAGAAAATCACGGATGGATGCTAAGACACGCATGCAAGAACGAAGGACACTGGAATGGTAAAATCTAACTGATGAGTGAAGAGTTTCATGAGCTCTAAAATACAGGGAGAATAACAATACATGACACTGACGGTTTATACGGGGGAGAAGGAAAGGGAAACAACAGTGATTAAAGGTCCTCACAGGGTAAGTGGTGCAAGCACTATTCATATCAGACCGTAGTAGGTTTCAGATGTAAAATACAATCTCTAGGGTAACCACCAGAAGAACTGAAAATGATATAGAACAATCAAGGTTAAGGGAAGAAAAAACCAGAATAAAAGCCACCCTAAAGCAGAAAGGAGAGAAAAAAAAAGGTAACACAAAAAAGGTGGGACAAGTAACAGGCCAAGAGTAAAATGGCAGACTTACAGCCAAATGTATCGGTAATTCAAGTAAACGTGACCCAGTGAATTAAAAATGCACAAAGACATTTACGTTTTAGAAATTAGATACGTACTTCACGAGGGGACTTTTCCCGGTATGTTTCTTGTGGATTATGGTGTGCTGTAACACGTCTAGAGTAGAGACAAAAACAGTTTATTATACCAAATGCTTCTGCAAAAATCCAAAAGGATGATGCAACTAATTTATGTGACTATAACAGTGTCAACAGACTGTGCAGAACACTTCTAAGCATTTCTCACAAAAAATTCCTTAAAGAGGCAGTTTTTCAAAGACACACTAAACTACTGAATTTCCTTAAATATCTTCTCAAATGCAGTCCACCTAAGAGCAAATTGGTTTTGTCCAAAACTGTGACACGCCCCTGCAAAACGACAACCCTCCATTTCAGGCTCTTTTCTTAACCACTAAAGAAATGAAGTGTCTCAAACATTCAAAAAATGCCTATCTATTTAATATAAGAAACGCCATGTACCCATCTCCCAGGTCTCTCTATTCAACTGACTCCTGAACAACATGGGTCTGAACCACAAAGCGTCCCCGTGCACACAGATTTTTCTTCCGATGAGTAAGTACAGTACTGGAAACCTATTTTCTCTTCCTTATGATTTTCTTAACATTTTCTTTTCGCTAGCCTACTTTATTGTAAGAACACAGTAGACAGTACACCTGAAATACAAACTCTGTGTTAACTGTGGACACCTTTGGTAAGGCTTCTGGTCAAACAGCAGGCTACTAATAGTTTAGTTGTGGGGGAGTCAGAAGTGCTACCCAACCTTCAACTGCTTGGGGGTCAGCACCCCTAACCTCCATGTTGTTCAAGGGTCAACTGTATCTGCCTCTTTTTATAAGAAACAAAAATATATCACAGAAACAACCGAAGGCCTTCCTCCATTCCATTCGACTCCCTCCCCCTACGGAGGTAAACTAGTTGAAATATTCTAGTGCATGTTCTTATGAAGACTGACAGCAGCTGGGTCATACCCAGGTATTTGCTGTTACACACAAGGCTGCCCTGTGAGGACTTCAGTCTCCGTGCCCTGGGCACACGGACAACAGTTTTCATAGCAGCAGAACTGCTGGGCAGTAGCATAAAATTAATTACTTCCAACCTCACTGCACAGTGTCCAATTTCTGTCCAAATGAGTTGTACCAATTTATATTCCCACCCGCAGCGGATCAGAGTTCCCATTACTTCATATCCCTGGTAATGTCAGACTCAAAAGTGCTTTGCCGATCTGATGAGCATGAAATGATAGTTCACTGTTTTTACAGTGTGCATTTTTCCCACTACTCGTGAGGCTAAACACTGCTCAACAGCTGTTCAAATTTCTTCTTCCATGAACTATCTTTATCTTTTGTCCATACTTCCAATCAGACTGATGTTCTCATTGATTTTTTGAAAGAATACTTCTATTGTCTGGATGTAGTCTTTCTTCAACTGTGAATATCCTGTAAGTGTCTTCTAATTGTCTGGTTTTTGGGTCACATGTTCAGTTAATTTAGATCAGGAAGATCTCCACTACAGTCATGCTCTGCTTTGTCAAGAAAGCCTTCTTGTCCCAGATTATTAACATTTAAAAGTTCCATTTTATAATTTACATATTACATTATGTTTATATGTTACACATATTTTGTTATTCACTTGCAATTTCTGTGCATGATATAAGTACAGATCTAATGAGATAATATTTTTTTCAACTGGAAAGCCAGCCAACATCATTTACTGACTAGTCTATTTTTTCCTCACTTATTTATAATGCCACCTGTCACATTCCGAGTTCCCAGATGTCTGTTTCTTGGCTCCTTAATCTGTTCTAATGGTCCATTTGCCTCTCCCTCTGCCCATATCAGGCAGAATGACTTATTCCAGTGAATCCACACTTACCTTCTTCTTGACTTGAAGCTTCCGAACTGTCTTCCTTTAAGTGTTCTAAGATTTTAGAAGTCTTCAGGGAGGATTGTAAGTTATCTGCAAGGAAGCATTCAGCATCATTAACTTTTTAGGAAAAATATAATAAAAGAAAACACACAGAAGGATTCCTTCTCTCCCAAGAAGAGGAGAGTGGAGAGTTAGTGGCAAAGGGAACACTTCTACTAGCTGGGCCTTTGAAGAAACCAAAGTGACAGAGCACGAAACACTGGCCTGGGAGTGGGGACCCTGATCGTGGAGGCTGCTCTCTCTTCCCCAAGTGCTCACGTGCAAAATGAGAAGCAGCACTAGATGAGTGCTTCCCAAACATCAGTGTGTGCTGAGGCTTTCAAATTTCTAATGTGTTGTAAACTATTACTTTTAAAAATACGATCACGTGTGGCAATGTCAAACTGCTACACAGACTGTCTACTCTCAGTTTCTATTCTTCTATTACAGAGCAGTGACAAGCAATTCATGGGCCAGCACTGACCGGTCACCGAACACATTCTGAAAGCCCCGGACGACTTCTCCATTACGATACAGACCGGTGGGATTCCAGAGTTTAATTCTGAAGTCATTTAGGAGTTTAACAATTTTGTTTTCTCCATCGTCAGAATATAGAACACTATGCTCTATCCTAGGGAGAAAAAGTGTAGAGCTGTCATTCTTTAAAAAAAAAAAAAAAGTACAAATGACCTCGGTGAAACAATGGGGTCATCCTGACCAGATTTTCCACAATCTCAAAACATGTGTTTTTAATACATTTTAATTTCGCAGCAATCTGATACCTTCTTTAGCGCTGCTCACGCACTTTAAATACTGTAAAGCTCTCATGATGAGTTTTCTATTATTTATCTGTGCACTACCCACTTGGGCCAGTGTTCCTGGGCAGCCTGCTAAAATCTGAATTTGAAGTTTAACTTCGTGTTTCAATGCTTTTTGAGAATTAAACAGATCTATTTAAGTGATACTCCTTAAAAAGTACTTACACTCAGTTCAAGCAGAAGCACTGACTGTTAAATCTACACAGCTCTAGGATGATTAGGATTCTCCCTTAAAAAAATACAGCTACTGCCACCATTCAGACATAAATTTAACCACGTGGTCGTTCATCTTGTCTTACTAACCAGTCACCAAAAGTCATTAATTCTAATTGCTACTTGTTTGTTTAAAATATTTAAGGCGCATGTGCCCCACTAGAGAAACTTTAACATTAAGTTAACCCATGTTATAATACCCAATCATCTTACTTTTTTTAAACTCTTTTTCTTCCACCTCAAAATGAGGAAATATGCATTTTCTTTCCCCTTTAGGTACAAGAAAATAGGACTTTGTTGAAAGCAGAAGAAAAGATTTAAAAAAGTAAATAGCCACTTGCCAGAGTGGCTGTGCTGGAAGTCAGCACATTCTCCTAAAGCACACATCCATGTTCCTGGCCAAATATTTGTCTAAACAGGCAGTTGAGAAAGATGACATCAAACAACACACAAGGCCAACTGTGATGAAGGATGAGACATGAGGGAAAACCAACCCACAGGAATAGAAGGAAAAGGCAGGGAAATCTTCAGGAGGCGGTGTTTCAGTTGGGTCTTAAAACAGGTGTGATTTTAACAGGCTGTGCCAAAAGGAAGGCCATTTAGAAGTTCAGGTGCAGAACGAGCCAAGACACTGGGACAGGAAATGGCACGTGTACTGGGTGCACGCCAAGCCTGAGAGACTAGCAATAAGGTACAAGGAGGCTCATGGCCGGGCTTGAATTTCAAACCAAACTTTTAACGTTCTCAAGAGGGGATTAAAAGCAACTGATCCCTGAGGTAATCCTGGGATAGGTTAAAGTAAAGCGAGAAACTAGAATCTGAGACTAGCGAGAGGCTTTGCACAGGGTGTGCAGGAAAGAAAGGCTTAACTGCCAACAAGGGGACTCGTTGGGGCGGGGGGTGGGGGTGGGGCAGAAAGGAAGACATCCTTCGTCCAGTGTGGCTCGGCCTGTCCATGACTGACTACAGAGAGGGTAAGTGAAAAGGGTAAGGCCCGGGTTTCCAGACTCGGAAGCCGAGGAGGTCACTACGGAGACGGGGGACCCAGGAGGAAAGGCAGGTTCTAAGAGGTTCTACACCAGGCGCTCAGCAGCGGAGCACCTCTACGACCTGCACGCCCAGGCTGACTGACCAGCCCCGGGGGACCCAGGATGTGCACGAGTCCGGAGACAGCTGGCCTCCGCCTGGCAGCCAGTCAGATTTGTGACGTTAGCTTTAAAACTGCGGTGTCAATGTCACGGAAGACTAGAGATGTTCTCAATCGAATGCCACCCTTCCCCGACTGGGACGCCGGCGGCCAGCCCCCAGGGGCGGCACGGTGAAGCAGGACTGAGCGAGAAAGCAGCCGGCTTCCAGAGAGGAGAGGAGAGGCGCTTACTGAGGCTGTGCAGGGGGTCCGCTGGTACGGCCTGAAAGAAGCTGTGCACCCGCTGACTCTGCAGGAAAGCTTGGGATGACGTGGAAAATAGCTGCCTGCGCACAAAGACAAGACCGGGGTTAACTTCACGTGGGACAGATCTCAGGCCAGCGCACGTGGCTGTTTAATTCAGGTATAAAAAACAGACGGTTTTCCTAAGGAAAAGAATATTATTTTCTAACGTATTTCCCATAGGAGGAAGTGGATAAAAGTTAAACCTATTTGCAAAAATCTAGTGAACAGGCTTATTTTTAATTTTCTATAATCTAGTGATATGGTTGCAATTCTTGCAAAAAAAAATATATATATATATGCATCTATACATATATATATATATATATAATTTCCGCCTTTTGCCCAAGTGGTTTCTGCTCAGAATAAGAACTGCAATTCCTTTACTCTTCTTCACAGGTGCTACTTTTCCTCACTTGCCTGTCCCATGAAGGCACTTTCCTACACTCTGAACCTAAGAGCCTAGGATGCTGGGGTGCTACGGGTCCTGGAAACTGTGGAATGCGGTGGTCTGGGGAGCTACAAGTAGGACTACGTCCTAAGGCATGACTAACTGATGATTCGCTCCACTGTGCATCATGCCATGATTCTAAACCGTTATCTTTGAAAACCAGCTTTCCTCACATTTTATTAATGTAATTAAAAGACTTCAGCTGGAAGTCTTCTCTACAAAGGGACCCTGCAATAAGGGGCATAGTTACAGTACAGTCTAATGGAAAGTTTCCTCAAGGATCTGAATACCAGCTCAACCACTTAAAAGCTGAATCACCCTAAACCAGTTACTTAGCCTTTCAGCTTTACTCTCCTCCTAGGGAATGATACTACCAATTCATCAAGGTTATGACACTCACAGCACACAAAACTGTCACCCTGCTCAACATACAAATCCCCTTCCATTATTGTCGAACACATTAAATGCTCATTTAAAATTCTTAAATTTCTCCCCAAGGTTTTTGACCTGTCATTCATATTAATTATAAAGTCATTAGATACTATACCAAGAGATGACCCTATGGACCAAAATTACCTTGCACATTAGGTAAAATTGCTTCTTGGTATGCAAATGTGGAAATAAATATTCAACAGGAAGACAAACAGGGGAAATGAAGAGATGGGAGGAAAACTGAGCAAGGAGCTGATCTAAATTTCCAGGTCTGAAAACATTACCTACATCCGGGGATTAAAATCCAACGGCAGTGGTGGAACCTATTACCCAGTTACATTTACAAACCAACGGTCCAAAGACAGACACACCTTTAATTCAAGGCTTGAGTCCCAAGAGAGAGCCTAGATACCACCCACCACTCCACAAACCAAATGCATGTCCGCTGTGGGAACACAGAGCTACACGTACAAGCCACAGCCGAGATGAACCCACAGGCCTGAAAGCAGCATCCACACTAAAGTCAAGGTGCGGTAATGCAGAACCACAAGATGGCAACCATACCTATCTACTTACAAATCAAACTGGCCATAAACTAACATATTAAATAAGAAAAACAAGATTACACTTCAACATGACAGAAACTACCCAACCCCAAATGTACATTTCAGTGCCATATTTCTCTTTTCCTAATTTACAGTGATCTGGAACTGTATTCATGCAAGGCGTCCTGTACCAACCCCATCTCTCCGGCTCCTATAAACTCATTTTCTATTTCTCCCTTATAATAACTGCCCCTTCCTCTAAAATCGCTCCCTTTCTTAAGTGACATGAATGATAATCACACTAATCTAAAATTCACAAACTGAGAATGAGGTGTTCTCACATCCTATTAATGGTGTTGGGACCACAAACCAGCCACACAAATCAATGATTTTTTTAAGGGAAATATTGGGGGGGAGGGAACGTATTTTAAAAATATAATTTTTTCGGGGTGCCTGAGTGGCTCAGTCATTAAGCATCTGCCTTC